ACAGTAGCTACAGTAAACATTGCAAACAGTAAACAGTGCAAATGGAGTGGAGTGCAAGTGGAAGTAAACAGTGCAAATGGATGTGCAAATACAGGTAGACATTGTCCATTGTCTATTGTCTATTATGTTGTTTTGACTTTGACTAACCTTTTGTAAGATTTTATTTTACTGTAAAAGAAAACTCATGTCTGACATTTACTTGCATTGCCACTATAAAGTTATGTTTGCTTTAATTTTGTTTGATTAACTGAAGACAACCGCAGCTGTGTTTGAAAACTGGTACTGTGTCAAGAGGGGAGGATTTTCAAGTATTTTTGTTACTATGGAAAACAATTCCACAACAGTGTCTTCTTTTAAAAGGACACTAAAAACAATGTTTTTGCAAGCTAGTAGTTAGGTTTGAAGTGTGTGGTTAACCAATAAATTGTTTACTTTAGAATTATTATTATTATTCCTTTTTAATACTAATAATACCATCTTATCTTAAATGTTTACACCTGGCCGATGAAATGTGATATAGAAATGAAGCTGACTTGACTTATGGATGTTTGACCATGAATTGTTCGGGTCTCTCACAGCTGCGCCAGAATCTCGACAAGAAAGACAAGAAAAAGAAGAGGAAGAAGGATAAAAAGGAGAAGAAAGGAGACAAAGAGAGGAGAAAGGAGAAGAAGCATAAAAGAAGGAGCAGGAGTTCAAGTTCAAGCTCAGACGAGGAAGACGAGAAAAAACACAGGTATGAAAGGAGCAAGGTACATGAGGTATATTGCAAAAATACCATGTTTTCTATAATGAATTAGTTGGTTCAATTAAGTAAACAGTTTGAACTGTCATTTATTTTTAGGTCACATTCAAGAGACGAATCTGCAGCAGACACCAAGTCTCGTTCCCATCATCTTCCAGGCTACGGCCTTCTGGTCAGTAATCACACACACATACGATCTGTTCTACAGTTTCAACTATTAATCTCTCACTGGACCAGAACCATTATCCTATAGAGTCCTAACAGTTGTCGTCCCTCTCAGCTCCCTGCTGGCAGACATCACCAGCCCTCAGCTCCCTCCAATCACTCGGGGGGTCGTGAGAGGAGCCGCTCCAGATCGCCGCACAGGAACAACAGTCATTCCTACTCCTCTTCTTCACACAGCAGAGGTGACAGGACGGCCAAGCCTAGAGATGCCAGCCCAAAGAGAGAGCGTCACCACAGACAGAGGCACCCCGTGTCCAAGTAAGAGTTGGCAAGGCTCCAGAAGCTGTAGACTCTGCACAATAATGGCTGTAGTCCAAATACTGACATGATCCTGATTTAGACAGTACTTTGTTTAAGATTCATTACTTGCTTTCTTATGGAAGAATGCCATTCATCTTTTTTTGTGGTGATAGTGAATCCCTCCTGTATTCAGTCTTAAAGCAACATCATATAAAGATGTTATTACATTTTTGCAATTTGGCGCCCCCAGTACAGTTTCATGGGCATTTATGATTGCATCACCTATGATAATGATAACATTAAGCACTACTATTACGTACTAGTTCAACAGCAAGAAGGCCAGTCTGCCGTCTGTCTGCAGCGGTTTGTTTTTTTTCACCAAGCTTTCACCAACAATTAAAAGCCAGTCCGAGACACTGGCGCTGCTCTCCGTCAGCAACCGCCCCCGTCCTAAGCCTGAAAAAACCCCTCTGCTACCAGTATAAACACCAACACTCCCCCACTCCTACTTTACCCTCCGAAACTCTGCAAATCACCCAGAGTTGAGGAGGAGCTGCTGGAGGACATCAGGGGAAAACCAGAAAACATTTTCTCCAAAAAATATGATCCAGTTTCACTAAAATCAATGACATAGTTGGTGGTGTGGCACCCAGAGCCAACAGTTACATTGTACAAAAAACGACGTACAGCACACAGAGTGGGAATGACAGAGGCACCATTCACTCTATTACAACTAGATATAGTGTGTAGTGTAGAATCAAACTGATTTTGACGTTATTTTGAGTGAGAAAAGGTACATAATATTGCTTTAAACTCTTCTGTCATGTTGCTGTCATGGTACATCCATGTCTCTATCTTTTAACAGATTTTGCATGAAATAACTGCTTTGAGTCATTCTGCTGTTTGTGCAAGTAGATTCAAAATGGTATGCTGGGACAGAATCGTAGTCTGAAAAAAAATAACCCTCAAGGATAAACAGTAATGTTTTTCAGCGCATTGTCTTCATCACCACCCACACTGAATGGATTCCAGTAATTTTGTTGTTTTCTGTCTGATGTAGGAAGCTCTCTGCAGAAGAGCTGGAGCGCAAGAGGCGGGAGATGATGGAGCAGGCCAAGCAGAGGGAGGAGGACAGGGAGAATAATGTGAGGAGATACAAGAGGCAAGACGAGCAGGAAAAGCAGCGGGAACAGAATGCCAAGATTGACCGCCACGCTGGCTTCATTCAGTAAGTTTCTGAGCAACACAGAGACAATCAGAGGGTGTGACATTTATGTACAAATGCCTCCTAGTCTGATTTAAATGCACAAATAATGTCCTCCTGGTGTCTCTTACTTGCCTGCTTCATCTTCAGCTCCACTAACACTCACCTTCCCCCTCTTGCAGTAACATGAAGCTGGAGAGTGCTGCCAGCTCTTCTTTAGAGGACAGAGTGAAGAGGAATATCCACTCCATTCAGAGGACGCCAGCCTCCCTGGACAACTTTATGAAGAGATGAAAACACAACACATTTATCACTACAGATAGACTGAACTGAACTGATTGAAAGAATTGGAAAGAGTATGTCATCTACTCCTTTATGAGGATGGATGGGTTGGTGGGAGTCTTTTATGAGTTCAAACAGGGACACACATAGCTCCATGCCTACGTATGACTTTTATTTTGAAAAACAGTTTCTACACGGGTAACATATTTTTTATTTCAGATACATGCAAAAGGCCTATCATAGCTGCTCTGTTGTAGTTACTTTCCTGAAATACCCCTTTAAATTTCATGCGATTTGAACTTTGTACAGTACATAGTTTTTGTTTTTACAGTATAACACGAGCCGCTTTTATCTCAAATGTTTTTGTAATATATATTTGTTACTTAGTGTACACCTGTGAGTAGCAACTGAAATAAAACATGTTTCCAGAGCTCCATTACTTGTTTTATTCTTTTTAAAAGAACCTATGCCGTCACTGGAGATTGTGGAAATCCTCAGAAGTAGAATTTATATCAGTCTAAACCTCATTCAACAGTGTGGTGCTAATTAATGTATCAGAAGTTTGATAATTCGTTGTTTATCAAGTTATTAAGTTTGGTGGTGCAGTTGAAAAGATATGGATGAGGGTTGCCCGTCTAAACTAGATATTTATGCTAATTGAGTTATAGTGGTTGGTCAACAAATGTGAGTACAGGCCAGGATTTATTTTAAACTCTTTCTCATTCAGTATGAGGGTCAGTCAGTGAGGGTCAACCTGACAGTGACAATCCAGTTTCAGAAGCAAATTTGCAAGAAACCTCCCGGTTTTAATTTCACTTTAACACGCCTCTAACAAACTATGCATGCGCCGCTGTCCTCCAATGACAGCAGCGCTTTGCTCCGAGTGCCGTTCATCCAGCCAATTACATTTGCAGTACACGATGACGTAGAGAAATCCAAGTTAGTCTGATCTCTGTGTTTCTAAATCGTGTAGTCACTGTGGGAAGCTAATAGCCATTCATAACTGCAAGGAGTTTGGAAGTTGTAGGAGTTGGGAATATACCAGAACACCGTCACCATGGTAAGAACATCTCACCTCAGATCATATGCGAATGGTCTGTAGGCCAAAAGGGTTTTAAAGTCTGAATAAGGCAAAGAGTTACAAGAGCTTGGCTAAGCTAATGTTGGTAGCTCCTAGACATCACTAGCTAAGTTAGCTCACTAAAGTAAGGTAGTTAATATACTCTGAAAACTGATTCAACGCTAACTTCACAACTTATTAAAATGTCCTTCATATTCAACGTGTTGTTTTATCTAACTAATGTTACAGAAGAGTACAGTGGAAGAGTAACGTTAGCTGGCGATAGCCGGAAAGCTAGTAGCTACTCCGCTCTACCATGCTAGCTGCACATGAGCTAACTAACTAACTTAACGTTATGTTGTAGACTAACGTTAGGTTAATGGTCCTGAAGTTAGTTTGTATAACTGAGGTTAACTTAAACTATTGTAGCTCAGTTGGTCAACATCAGTTAAAGTTTGATCAGACTCACTGTCAGCTTGATT